TGCTAAACTGTAAGAACAAACTATAGCTAAAGAGAGGAACATACCTAGTAACATAAACAATATGATCAAGTGGTGTATGTAGAGCTATTTTGATTTTTTAAATCCAAAGTGCACAAATTAGCCTAAGAAAAGATGTTCAGCTCGTATGTCATTAGGGAATTGCAAATCAAAACAATGAGATACCACTACACACCTATTAGAATGGCCACAGTCCAAAACCAAAAAACATCAAATGCTGAGAAGGATGTGGAGCAACAGGAACTCTCATTCACTACCACTGGGAAAACAAAATAGCACAGCTGCTTTGGAAAACAGTTTGGCAGTTTCTTATAAAACTAAACATAATCCTAACACACGATCTGACATTCGTGCTCCTTGCTACTTACCCAATTGAACTAAAAACTTAAGTCCACACAAAAACCTGCATACAAATATTTATAGCAGCTTTATTCATAACTGCCCCAACCTGGAAGCAACCAAGATGTCCTTCAGGAGGTTAATGGGCAAATGAACTGTGGTCCATCCAGACAATGGAATATTATTCAATGCTAAAAAGCAAATGAGCTACCAAACCATGAAAAGACATGGAAGAACTTAAATGCATATTCCTCACTGAAAGAAGCCAAACCAAAAAGCCTACTATGTAATTCCAACTGCATGACATTCCAGAAAAGGAAAAACTATAGAGACAGTCAAATGATCAGGGAGTGACAGGGGGTTAGGAGAGAGAGACAGGTGAACAGGCAAAACAGAGGATTTTTAGGAAAATGCAACCATTCTGTATGATATATCCATTTTTCAGAACCCAGAGAATGTACAACACCAAAAGTGAACACTAATGTCAACCATAGACTTGGGTGATAATGATGTGTTAATGCAGGTTCATTGATTGTAACAAACACATTGATAGTGAAGTTTTGTGTGCACAGGGAGCAGGAGGTATCTAGGAACTCTGGACTTTCTGCTCAATTTTACTACAAACCTGAAACTGCTCTAAAAAATAAAATCTATTTAAGAAAAGAAAGGGAAGGGGCGCCCGGGTGGCTCAGTCGTTAAGCGTCTGCCTTGGGCTCAGGTCAGGATCCCAGGGGCCTGGGATTGAGCCCCACACCGGGCTCCCTGCTCAACGGGAAGCCTGCTTCTCCTCTGTCACTCCCCCTGCTTGTGTTCCCTCTCTCGCTGTGTCTCTCTCTGTCAAATAAATAAATAAAATCTTAAAAAAAAAAAAAAGGGAAAAAAAGGTGTTTATTTAGCAGTATGTAAGAAAGCATCCATTTAACATACTCATTAAGCCTATATACACAATTGAAAAATAGTTATTAGTATTTTGTACTGGGCATCCTGAGGAGGGGATATAAACAAGAGGACAGGTTCCTTCCCACAGGGAGTTTTATTTATTTATTTATTTTTTTTAAAGATTTTATTTATTTGACAGACACAGCGAGAGAGGGAACACAAGCAGAGGGAGTGGGAGAGGGAGAAGCAGGCTTCCCGCTGAGCAGGGCGCCGGATGCGGGGCTCGATCCCAGGACGCTGGGATCATGACCTGAGCCGAAGGCAGACGCTTAACCAACTGAGCCACCCAGGCGCCCCGCCACAGGGAGTTTTAAATATAGTTAAATGGACGTCGTATATTTGCAAAAAGCTACATAAAATGGAATTTAAATAGTTCAAGACAGAAAACATACTGCGAACAGTAAGTTGCCAAATTACTGAAATAGACATTAAGAGGACAATATGCGAATAGGGGTTCAGTGGATCACTTCAGACTAAAAGAACCAGGAAGTTAAGATCTGCTCTAGGTCCTGAAAAATGTCTAAGATATGTCTGGAGGGAATTGGTGCATTCCAAGAAAGAGCAAAACCACCGAGTTAGAAAAGGAAATCAAATGAACCAGTTCACAAAACTAAATAGGGAGACAAGACTAGAGAGACTGGTAGAGGCCAAATCATGGAAGTCAAAGAATGCCAGGCCAAGGAACCAGCCTAGAGATTCCGAATTCTTAACTCTTAAATGCTAAAAGGGAGCAAATACTTGCCTAACCTCTGTTATACTGATAGCTCTTAATCTAATGAGTGTATTTAAAAACATTTTATGTCAGATACAGATATATACTAGTAGACATAGTCAAAAATTCACCACCTTTGCTACCCAATTGAATATATATACACACAAGTCCTGCTCCCAAACTTCAATTTCCAATCTACTCTAATAAGCTACCCATAACCCTACAACCTGAACCCATTCAGAAGACACACAACTCTATCACCCAATAAAACTCTATATGGGTACACCACTCTTTTTCCCTTCACCCAAAGATGTCTTTCCTCTGGGGTATAAAACAAAGTGGCTCCTTGCCCCTTTAACTGGAAAGAGGGGTCATCTTAGGACCATGGTCACTATTGGCACCTCCTCCTCATTCTATTTATAGGACTGTCACCCTCTATTAATCATTAAAAGCAAACCCCCTAAATAAATATGTAAAATACATACATATTCCAGGCAAGACAAAAAATGCAGCATTCCCTCCCCAATCACCTGATAGATGACATACATAAGACTCTATACAACCTTTGGTAAATATTATCAATAACTGCAATTCTCATAAATGAAAACATTTCAGATTTTGTCCATTGTTACTTTCAACCTTTTTTGTAATCCTTTTGTTTTCCATAAACTATTCCACGTATTTTAAATCACATACTCAAACTTCAATGTGTGGGCATCTGCAACTGTATTCAATCCCACACTCTTCTAATTAACAAATTCCCCAACATATCCCAGCTAAGTTATCCGAAATCAATGACGTTCTATGCATGTACCTTTAATCTTGTGTTAAAATCCTAAAACCCTCCCCTTTAGGAATCTACCACCAGAGTGACTATTTTCTCACCTTTCATGACACATTAATACATGTCCAATTTCCTCAACCATTTATAACAAACTCTAACACACATTATTTTTCTCAAACATAAGCTCCAAGCATAAAAACACCCCATTAGACTCTCTTCTATCAAAAACATTTTAAAACTTCCATTAATATGGCTTTTTATAAAAAATTCAAATACATATACTATGATACCAATTGGTCGAAGTTCAAAAACATGAAAGAGTATTAGATACTGTTTAAAGATACAGGCATATACTGAAAAACATAAAAACGTGTGACAACAATAAAACCAAATTAAGGAGAATGCTCATGGGGGAGGGAGGATTGGAGGAATACAATTCAAGAGACAGAAAAGAGGCTTCAACTTTCTAATGTTTTATTTCATAAACAGAATCAGGGATACATGGTTGTTCATCTTATTCTTTATACCTTTCTGTTTTTGAAATATTTTAAGTGAGTTCAAGAAGAAAGGTACCCAATTACTAATTAGTATCTCCCTCTCATATGTAGTGACAAGTTGTTATTACGTCCAAATTGCAGTTACTACTCATTGTTACATCCGGGACACCCCTCCTGTCCTTTACCTAAGCCAAGAAACGAAAAATTACAAGCCTACAATCCAAAACTTTCCCTTAGATGTATCTTAGATATGATCCAGGTTTATATTCTGTAGCTATATACAATCCATTTCTTTCACAACTCTCACATCGACAAAAGTTAAACCTCTTATTTTATCCTTCTATCCCTACATTGCTATTAACTCTTACATGCCTTACTACACAGTAAACTGGAATAACGACCTTTCCTTATTTGTGTATGTTAAAATATAAGCGAATTGTTAAGCCACATAACTAATTCACTTGTCTGAATGCAGTCATATATACCTCTATGCACAAGTCTAACTCACTCATATACTAACTTTTCAATCTCAAGTTATAACTTCTAAATTAAACCACACATCATTTAACCGCAAATGAAAGGCACTAACTTTTCAATCTCAACTTATAACTTCTAAATTAAACCACACATCATTTAACCGCAAATGAAAGGCACTAACTTTTCAATCTCAACTTATAACTTCTAAATTAAACCACACATCATTTAACCGCAAATGAAAGGTCATCTCAGCCAAACACAACTTAGCCAGGGCAATTCCGAAACACTCCACTCCAGCATACAGGGAGTTCACCTAATGCATAAAGTCCCGTTCCTGCAACAAGGTTTACACCACCCACAAGTGCTCTCCTCCACTGGCGACACTCAGACACACCTCCGAATCCTAACTTTCGGCTCGCTATGGTAAAACAAGGAGAGAGAGCATGAAGTTGCATCTCATCACGAACCCCACGGGCTCTATATTTCACACACCAAAGGGCCTGAGTTTCTCATTACTAGGAGGTAGAAGTTGGAAGCCCCGATCTAGGGGACAAGGTCTGGTCTTCCATGGCGTCCGCCAGAGTCCTAAAGTCGTCGACTAACAGTTCAGGCAGCCGACCCGCCTACTTCCCTCCCCACCCCCACTCCAGGCGCACCCCACCCCCACCCCCGGCGCGAAGCCCACTGTACATCCCTGCACCTGCGGGTCCTACGAACAGCCGAGTATCCGCTTCTCTCCACCCGAGGGAATGGCTTAGATGCCGGCTCCGACGCTCGCCTCCGGCCACCAGGCTCTCACGTCGGGACCAACCGGGCGACTCGTTCGCTCTCTGATCAGCAGCAACACCTTCTCCAGAACCGACCCGGGGGCCTGGCCTTCTCAGGTGCCAAGCTCCGAGGCCTCCTCACCTCTCCCAGAGGACCAACCTACACCGGACGCTCAAGGCCCGAAAGGCAACTCCCACCACTCCCCGACTCGCCAGTCTTTTTTCTTCCCAGCTGCAGCCGCTGAAAAAGCCAAGCCCCACGGTCCTCCTCCGCCAGCTTCCGGGCCTCGGTTCACAGGCAGGCCTGAACCCCCAGCCTTGCCCTCCACCACCCCATTCCCGTCACGCCGCTTCCCCCCCCGCCGGAGGCCGAGCACCGGGGCTGGGCGGCTTCCTTCCCCGGCATCCCGCGGGCCCGGCTCCTCCCGCGGCGGGCCCGGCCCCCGCCCGGCGTGCCGCACACTCACCGCTGAGCGCTGAGGCCTGCAGGGTGGCCCCCGAGGTGCCGTCGATGACTTTGATGGTCCCGCGACTGGTGACGGCCAGGATGGCGTTGAGCGCCGGGTGGTAGGAAAGGCTGTGCAGCCCATCGGCGTCGCAGCGCATGCAGCCGTCTCGCAGCACCAGCCACTCCGAGACCCCCGCCGCTCCCGCCCCCGCCGCCGAGGAGCAGCCCGGGCCCGAGGCCGCCGCAGCCGCAGCCGCCATCTTCCGGCCTGCGCTCAGCACAATCACACTGGGAAGCGGCTCAGTGACAGTCCCGGGAGGTGCAGCACCACCGCCAGTCACCATCCGGGGCCAGGGGGCAAGTGGAGCGCGTTAGCCGGAAGTGAAGTCAGGCGCCGGCACGCACGCGGGACGTCGGCCGCGCGCCCGGAGGGGCCAAGCTCGGAGGGAGGTTGGCGGGGGAGGGGGAGTGGGAGCGAAAGAGGCGGGACCCGGGGAGGGGGCGGGCAGCGGGCGACTGGAGCATGCGCGGGAGGGCTCGCGCGTGCCACGCGCCTCTGGTCCAGCCAGCTCCGCGTTCGCAATGTCCCAGGTTTGGGTTTTTTTTACCCCGAGCCTGGGGCGTGGCCACTGCCTGGGCCCCGCCCCGCTCCCTTGCCTCTGGCGGTGGGGGTTGGGCTCCGTGTGCTTCCGCTAGGCGGGGACCCCGGCCGGTGGGACCTGTCTGAGATGCGCTAAGGCCTTTTGCGGCGGTTCCAGCTGCACCTGGACGGTTACCTGCAGGCGCTGTTGTAGCTGTTCGGTTGTGGCTGGAAGAAGACCTCAGGGCTTGGCTCTAGTCTACAAGTAAGCAGTCTGAAAAACCTCTGGTCTGGATTGGGAGAAACCAAACGACCTCAGTACCCCGTGCCTATTGCACGCCGCCATTCCCAGATCTTTTTCTTGGACAGAAGTGCCAGATTGGAGGTGCTGGAAGTGTATTATTTAGCTGAATGTCTTTATCCACACCCCAAACAACTCCAGTTATGTGAATTGTTAATAGATGCGTGGGGGTGTTGGGCCAGAAAGAACTGTAGCCAAGTAAATTTACTATGATCATATTTTTATTTTATTATAATTATTAGGGGCGCCTGGGTGGCTCAGTCCGTTAAGCATCTGCCTTCTGCCCAGGTCATGATCCCAGGGTCCTGGGATGGAGCCCCACATGAGTCTCCTTACTCAGTTGGGAGCTTCGCCCTCTCCCTCTGCCTGCCGCTCCCCCTGCTTGTGCTCTCTCTGTCAAATGAATAAATAAAATCTTCAAAAAAAAAAAGTAATTATTAGATTCACACTTGCAAACATAATACAAACCTCTGTGGTTTGCCTCCTCCAAAACCATAATCCCTATCTAACTCTCAAAAAAATGGGTTGGGACCCCTGGGTGGCTCAGCCAGTTAAGCGTCTGCCTTTGGCTCAGGTCACGATCCCGAGGTCCTGGGATCAGGCCGGGCATCGCTGGGCTCCCTGCTCAGCGGGGAGCCTGCTTCTCCCTCTGCCTGCCGCTCCCCGTGCTTGTGCTCTCTGTGTCAAATAAATAAGTAAAATCTTAAACAAAAACAAAAGACTGGACAAACTCAAATTTAGGGACTTCTATAAAATACCTGACCAGTATTCCTCAAAGTTGGAACAGAGAGGTCCAATTTACCCAGTTTCCCCAACAGTTACATGTTACATAAGTTTAATAACAATATCAAAAGCAGAGATTTGACATTTAAATGTTGTGTGTATAATTCTCTGTCATTTTATCATGTGTAGATTGCTGTACCACAATCAGGATACAGAACTGTATGTTCTTGGGATCATTCTTTATCTTGGAAAGCCTAAATTCTTCTTCCTTAAAACCTAAAGTGCTGTTGAGAGGATTAAGAGTCATGTAAAATGTGCAGAATAGCATCTCACATACAGTAGGTGCTCAATAAAAGTTATGAAAAGTTAATTGTCTTCCCACATTCCTGCATACTTCTTTCAGGAATCTTCAGAGATTATCCCAACTACATCTTAAACCTGTTTATTTGTATGCAAAGTTGTATTTATATAATCTATCCATTCCATTTTGGAATGGCAAATATGCCATTTTTATCTGATGTTGGGCGGCAACATATAATAAAGTGGAAAAATACCCAAGTATTAAAGTCTAAATGAATATCTGATTTTGAGTCACTGCGGTTTCATTTTTCAGTTCTAACTATGAACCTGGATAAGTCACTTAAACCTTCTGAGAATGTTCCACCAAGTATCAATTGGAAATCTTAAAATTATTTGCCCTACTTAGGTTTGTAATAAGACTTGTAAATTGTAAAATTTACCAAAGTACTTGTAAACTGTAAAAATGAAAACATAGAGGTGAAGTCTTATCCAGAGTCTCCCAGCTTAGGAGGAGGGGTTAACAGCAAGCTAGAGTTTGAGCTCAGGCAGCTTGACTCCAGAACCCAGACTCCTAACTTAGCCTCCTGTTCAAAACTTGAGTGCCTTGAGGTAAATAAAGTATGCAAATAAATTTAAATGTAATTGGGGGTGTCATTCTAAAAGTGTTTTACATCTCAGGACACAAGCAGAAACTAAAAACTGCCATTTCAAAGTTGTTTTCTGTCAAGACTCATTTGAGGGGCACCTGGTGGCTCAGTCATTAAGCTAGTCTGCCATCGGCTCAGGTCATGATCCCAGAGTCCTGGGATCGAGCCTTGCGTCAGGCTCCCTGTTCCGCGGGAAGCCTGCTTCTCCCTCTCCCACTCCCTCTGCTTGTGTTCCCTCTCTCATGTGTTTCGCTCTGTCAAATAAATAAAATCTTAAAAAAAAAAGACTCATTTGAGCCAAATTTTTTCATTAATCTGAAAGGGTACCTGAATAGGCCTTGAATGCAAATCGAGCCCCCCCCCTTATTGATAGGGAAAACAAACTAATAACCTGAACACTAAAGTTAGTGTACTTCAATGTTATACTATATTGAAAAGAATTGAGGCACAGTTTTATCTGCTAGGCAGTGTTACATTTTTTTGATTAGGAAAAAAATATTTCTTTTCTGTGAATTTAGACTGCTTTCACCTGTGAACCAGCATTTTCCAAAGCTACCCAGATGTTCTGAAATAAAACACTACCATAATCAAAGAAATTTAGGTAACAACCCCCCCCCCCATATTTCTCCTCTTGGAAGATTTATTTATTTTTTTTTAAAGATTTTATTTATTTATATGAAAGAGACACAGCGAGATAGGGAACATAAGCAGGGGGAGTGGGGGAGTGGGAGAGGGGAAGCAGGCTTCCCGCGGAGCAGGGAGCGCGATGCGGGGCTCGATCCCAGGACTCTGGGATCATGACCTGAGCCGAAGGCAGACGCTTAACGACTGAGCCACCCAGGCGCCCCCTCTTGGAAGATTTATAATACACATTAGGCTACCAAAAGCTCTGAGACCTCCTATGATAAAGAATCCTGTTTAACCTTCTTTAACCAACATTCCACAAACTCCTATGACTATAGATTCCTGCAAAACAAGTGTTTCAAAGAGTACTCTGTAGTGTAACTTGTTGCTTGTTTTTGTGAATATGTATTTTTGTTTGAGCACTTATTGAGACCTCAAAAACTGCAGTTAAGTGTTTCAGGACCCAGGTTAAGATTCCTTAAATGGAAGTTATCATAAAAATGAAATTGGACAAGACTTGGTGATGTTCAATATCAACTGTGTTGATTTCTTTCTGCATGTGGAATTGAGAATGAATACTTCTAACTTTGAAAATACACTGATTTTCATGACTAGTCTATTTTGAAGCTTTTGAGGGTCTCCAGCCAAACCATTTTGGTCATAGGTGGTGATTGCCTAAAGAAAGTAGAAATTCCCAATAACAATCATTTTGAAAGAGGAATTTGTTGGAATCAGAAATGTGGACCCAGAAAGGGGGCCTGACATGGAAAAAGCATTTGACAAAACCCCACATCTATTTGAAGAAAAAAACAAAACTCTCAGCCAACTAAAAATAAAGGGAAATTTCCTCAACTTTGTAAAACGTATCTACCAAAACAAAACAAAACCCAAAACCTACAGCTAACAGCATACTTAACAGTAAAAGACTGAATGATTTCCCTCTAAAATCAGGGACAAGCCAAGGACATCTACTCTGACTACTCCTTTTCAACGCAGTACTAGAAGTTCTGGAACTTAAAGGAAGTCACTGCAACAAGGCAAGAAAAAGAAATAAGCATAGAGAGAGAGCAGTTTCTCAGATGCACCCCTCTTTCCCTTATGCAGCCATTGGTAGTGGGGGCCAGTCTTAAGGAAGAAGAGTAGAAGCTAAGACCTCAAAGGGGACAACTGGCCCACAGCTGCAGGTGGTGACTGGCTGAGCAGAAGCCTGTGTCTGCAGCTCCATAGGAGCAGAGAGAGAGGCAAAACTGATTCTAGAGTGTACAGAATAAACACTCTCTCTAAAGATTCCCTGGTAAATACTAGGGGGACTCTGAATGGGTGGCTGAGGTCATGCCATGGGAGCTAGAATTTAGGCACATTTATAACACACTCTAGTAAAACTCACAACACACTCACACACAGACACACACAATTGAGCCATATACAAATGTTGCATAAAAAAAATGCCTGGGGCACCTGCGTGGCTCAGTCAGTTGAGCGTCTGCCTTCGGCCCAGGTCATGATCCCAGGGTCCTGGGATTGAGCCCCACGTCGGCTCCATGCTTGGCTTGAAGCCTGCTTCTCCCTCTCCCTCTGCCTCCTCCCCCTGCTTGTGTTCTCTCTCTCTGTCAAATAAATGAATAAAATCTTCCCCAAAAAATGCCTAATGTAATAAAGGAATCTAAATTTAGAGGAAAAAGCAGTTTGATGACAATAAAGGAATCTCTAAACTAAAAAAAAAAAAAAATTAGAAATTATCACCCTAATGCCCAGAAGTTTACATGCAGATTTGGTTTATCCCAATGCAGGAAATGATCAAGTTCTAATGATTTGTAATGGAAAGGCTGATCTATAAATTACTTCTATCTGGCCTGATATTAACAGCTAGTATGTGTATCATTAAAATTCAGTCTTGGGAGGGGCGCCTGGGTGGCTCAGTCAGTTGGTTAAGCATCTGCCTTCTGCTCAGGTCATGATCCCAGGCTCAGCAGGGAGTCTGCTTCTCCTTTTCCTCTGCCCTTCCCTCCAGCTCGTGCTCTCTCTCTCTCTCTCAAATAAATAAATAAAATCTTTAAAAAAAAAAAGGAAAGCATAGTGCCTTTTTGGTGTGAGCAGCCATTGTTTATGGAGAAAAGCTCAATATGGCATTAATTGAAAGGATACCTGATCTGCTTACCTTTGACACTT